GGGTTTATATTTTTAAATCAGGGTCCCTGATTTCCAGCTTCAGCCGTTTCCAGCATCAGCCGCGACAATTATTATTTTAAATTACCAGTTCAATATCTCTTGGATCATCTTATGACTCGCAAATTTTAATTGAAATAAGCATAAACAAGGAACTAGGGTTTCTTTGTGCCTACAGGGATAGAACCTACCATTTCAATATCGCGCATTATTCAATGTAATTTAATATCTCTAATAATCTTATTTTTTTGTTTTATTTTTCATTTAATCAATAAAATCATTGTAATTGATTATAGTGATGAAAATGGAAAATTATTAAATTTGACAAGTTATTACATTCCCGAATTTGGATCAGAAAATATTACCTTTTTTACGTCATTGGTCACTGCTGATGAAGGTTATGTAATATTGTATGCCAAATATTCAAGCAATGAAACTGATGTTATGAGTCCATTAGGCGGATTGTATGCTAGATTTATAGCTTACGACAAAACCTCTACAGACAATCCTATTCCTCTTTTTCAAATAACTAGACCTAAAATGAAAATTAATGCAATTCATTGTAGTACATTTTTTGGATTTTGTTACTATTGTGTTGCTTCCATCATCTACAACAACACAGTGCACTATGAAGATATTCAATTTTGTTCAAAATTTTCAGCATCCGGTAAATTATCTCACACTCCCAATGAAATTAGTGTGCCCTGGAATGTGTCTTCGACACCTGTTTACGGATACGTATTTTCTGCTGTAGTTAACACCACTTATTTTATTTATATTTATGATGTGGATCATAATTATAATTATTCGAAAGTTAATTTAACATATTTTAATACAACTGGAATTGGCGCACATAGCATTTTGAAAAATAATACTCTTTTATTCTCTCTACGAGATGCAAATAGCAAAAGTACATCTTGGTCTTTGCTTGCTGTTCAGTTACAAATACCAGATTGTATGTTTATAAATACTTATTCATAAATAATGCACTTTTCTATTTGTAAATTCATAAATGCTTATTTATTATTTCATTCACATTAATTTAGACCGTGAGTATAAAAATTATTTATAAATCGATGAAATTAAATCATGAGTATAAATACTTATTCATAAATAAAATCTTTCTTATTCATAAATTTATAAATACTTATCATTCATTATTTCATTCGCATTAATTTAGGCAGTAAGTATAAAGATTATTTATAAATCGATGAAATTAAATCATGAATATAAATACTTACTTATTCATAAATTTATAATACTTATTTACTATTCATTATTTCATTCGCATTAATTTAGACAGTGAGTATAAAAATGATTTATAAATCGATGGAATTAAAATCATGAACATCAATATATATCCATGATTACTCTTTCTTATTCATAAATTCATAAATACTTACTTATTTACCATTTATTATTTATTATTGCATTCGCATTTAGTTTGTGAGTATAAAGTTAATTTATAAATTGATATAATTAAATTATAAACATAGATCATAACCAAATACTCTTAAATATTCAAATATTCTTTCTTTTCTATAATTACTTATTTACTATTCGTTATTATATCTATTTAGTAAGAAGTTATGATAGTTATGGCAATATGATGATTGCCAATGTTACCCCGCTCATTAATTCTAGTGTCGATTTATCAACGACCAAAATAAGTGTCAATTTCTCTTCGCCCGTTTATTTGTCAACTGGCAACATCACTATCTACAAAGCCTCTGACCACAGCATTAGGCAGAGAGTTTCAGCAACCTCTGAATTCTGTAAACTTAGTAATGATGGAAAAGTTGTCAATATAAGAATTATTGATAGCACATTTAATGAGTACGGAGAGAAATATTATGTGAAAATGGATAATAATTTTGCCAAAACAAGAAATACTAATGATCCTTTAAGAGGAATTGAAAGTGAAGTTTGTATTCTTAAATCAGGTACCTATAAACGTATTTTTAGTTATTTTTAATATATCATCTATTTTATCTTTTTTTATCTTTTAAATCATTTAGTTTATAACGCGCCTCCTTCAGGTATTGACATAATATTTATGTTTAATATGCTTCACACGATTCTCATTATATTTCCTTGTAGAAACTGCTGCTACTGGTTTAGCGGTTCTCACTATGGATGCTTCTAAAAAATTCTTAACATTGTCTAGAACCGATCAGTCAGCATACTTTGATATTCTACTAGATGATCTTGCTCATAAAATACCAGTTAGGCGGGAGCGTTTAAGTTCAAATAAGGATTTCCAGAATTTCGACGGTCAAATCTCAATTGCAATCCGTATAGATTTGCCAATTGATGGAAGAATTGAAAATACTGTTCCGGGAGTATTTTCCAATTTAAATAATATGATTATCTACAAAGAAAACACCACTTTTTCCACTGGTGTGACAAATGATTTAAACTCAACTATTGGCTTTCAATCAATATGTAGGTTGATGACTGTATTCTAAAGTTTGATAGAGTTGAATCGCACAACTAATTTTTTTATTATAGGGAGTCCATGGGATAATTTCAAATCACAAATAATTGCTGCGATTGCAATTTTTACAATAATATTCTTAGTTTATCATATATTGAGTTATAAGTTACACTCAAAAAAATTTGAAGCAGTAAATTCTGCAATATTAAGACTTGTATTGATCATTCCTAATTTTATTCTTTCATTTCTCTTTATTATTTACAATTCTAATGATAAATCGGAGCTTAATTTACCAAGGTATTTGTATTTTTTATAAGATATGATTAAACCAGTATTAAATTTATTTTAATTCTTGCCAAAACAAAAACATGTAAAGTGTGTTCTTTTTTAGCATTTCGCTACTCACAAACTTATGTATAGTTACTTATACTTTTTACAATGGAAGAAAGAATATCATTTTAGAGATTGGGTTGTTCGTAATCAAGGTTTAGCGGTTATATTCATTATATTAACAGTAACTGATTATGAGTATCTGGCAATTTTGAAAAATGCGCCTATATTTAAAAAAGTAACCATTAATTATAAGTATCAGACAATTATAAAAGATGTGACTAAAAAAGAAATTGATGAGTACTTAAAAGATTTTAGAAGAAGTGTCTAAATCTGATGAATCTAATGAATCTAATGAATCTGATAAAATCAAACAAATCAATATATTAAAGATTTTGAATAACGTGTTGCCTAGATCTGATGAATCTAGTGAATCTGCTGAATTACTTGATGAATCTGATGAAGTCAAACAAATTAAAAATATGATCGAACAAATTAATATATTTAAGCAGATATTTCGGTTCGCGATCATATGTGGAGCGTTCTTTGACATTTTTCTTAGAAATATTCCACAGATCGTTATTC